ATATATATGTATGTTGCTGTGTTGTCAGACAAATGAGTCAAACATTTTATGCAGCTAAATTTATTCTCACAACATATTACAGTGAAATGCGTCAAAGGGGTCAACAGCAAAAGGCATCAAAAGGAAAACAAAATGTCCTTTCAGGATGCAGCAGCAGTGGTGGCTGCCAGGGATTGCTCTCACTGACGGTGCAAGCCAACATCTTTGCCTTGAAGCTGAGACTTTCTTTTCCCTGTGGTACTGGGAATTAAACTCAGGGCCCTGCACATCTACACAAGTATTCTACCACTGAGCTACATCCCTGGCACACTGAAGCAACTTAAAACTGCTTTTTACTGGCTGTAGACAGTAGATGGTATTAGGTTAAGCCTGGCCAACCAGAGAGCTTATGGTTTTATTAAATTGTCCTGATGTCAGATGTGTTTCATGTTGTTTTTTGAAATCTTGTGTTGCAATGCTCATAAAATGAGTGTGCCATACACAAAAAGGAAGCTTTGGGGCTCCTAGTCAATGGCCTCAAATTGAGTAGTCTTGTTAATTGTCCTTCTTACACTCCTAAAGTGAATTTTTTAGAAAAGTAGCAGTGCCAACAGTTATCACCAAGAACTTGTTTTAATGGAAATGGATCTAATGTCCCTTCATGCAATTAGACACACAAACAAAAAACAATGGCTCTAATTAGTTGTGGTGATCTTAAACCTAGGTGGAAACAAAGGGTTTGTGGATATATGTATATCTTTCAGATGAAATCACATGTGTTGTGAAGGATATAAAAACGAAGCACCGCACAGTGCCTTAGTCTACAAAGTAAAGTCCTTAGCCACAGGCATGTTGGCTGTTTCCCTTGATGCTGCCAAGGAGCACATAGATGAGGTGGTGAGAGTGCATCTAGCTAGCTGCTTTTAAAAAATAAAAGGAACTTTAAGCATTTTTACCTTTTTTTCTACATACTCCAATAAAAATGTAACTATAAATCATTACAAAACCACCTTCTAGGCAATGTATAGTTCACTGAGATTACGTAGACCTGGATACATTGTGACATTATATCCGGTAAAGATAATACATTAACATAATAATGCAGTATATTTCAGTAAAAATAGAATAAATAAAATAAAAATACTTTAAGCTGTATTTGACAGGTTAATTAAAAAATGATAAGACATACAAGGCATAGCAAACATGGCTGCCTGTTTACTGAATCACAGATATAAAGAATGCATAGATAACTGAAGTATCACTAAGATCTCAGGTAAAACACTGGCATCCTTTCACAGACAAATACACACGTATTTTCATACATACTTTTTGGCCATGGCAGAAAGTGTCTGAACATACTGCTTAACATAATTTTATAAAATTAACCTGCATTTAGTATGCAAAGCTATTTTCAAAACAAAATATCTGCAGTAAAGTTTTTAATATGTAAAGGCTATCATTCATCTTACTGCATCCTAAAATTGCATATATAAATCAGTTTGCTACTTAAAGCTAGCTCAGTATTCTTGATCCTGAAAACAAACAAATGTATATCTTAAAATGAACAGGAGGTTTGGGTAGAGATTTCCTACAGAAATGTGGATTACTTGTTCAGAGTTTTGAAGTTGGGTGCACTCAAACATTACACTGTGGAGATCAAGATGAAAGACAATCATAACTGAACTGTGAATCATTTTTACTGGGCACAGCAAGGTTTTCTTAATGCAGTCATTTCTCAGATGGCACTGGTTACTTCAGATAGTAAGTTGGCACCAAGTATAACACATTTTCTCAAGTAGTGTCATTTTTATTGTAACATTAGGGTGCCAACAATTCCAGCTCCTGCACCCCACTCCATGAATTCTCTGAGGGAGCCATAGGCAGAAGACCTCCCACTCATTCCAGCGTGCTCTCTGGCGGCTAAGTGCCATGAGTTAGGAATATCTCTACCACAAGTAACATCATCTCTAGAACATCTCACAGCTTGGAACAGGCTGCTAAAGGAAGACAATTCCTCTACAACACATGTGAGGAACACAGTCCTGGACTGAGAGACGACAATGGTCTTATGGTTAACGCTACTGTGCAGACACACTGGAAAATTTCCTTATTTACTTGAGAATTCTGAGGTTACCTGACATTATTTCCAGTATCTGCTCTTCTTCGTATGGGCCTAGAGTCATTTGGAAAGGGTCTTCCTGACTGAGTAGAAGAGGCATAATGTGGCAAGAGCTGGGAATTGTGGGTACTGGTTCTGGCTCTCATGAGCTTTGGTGAGATCCTAGGCCACTTATTTAGCCTCTTGGTACTTTATGTTTTGATTTCTTCAATGAGTTTAGTACCTTTTCTACCTAATAAGGCTCAAATGTGATTAAGACTGTGGAAACCATTTTGACAAGCACAAAGCAGTGTATAAACACAAAGCATTACCTTTATAACTTTAGGATGTTAATTGACATTAGAGTAAACGATATTAAGATTGATCTCCTTTGCAACTTCCTTTTGAAACAACATTGTTGACAAGAGTCTAAATCTGTGTATTTTTATAGCTCAATTTCTTACACATATAAAAAGAAGCAGGAAAACGCTATTTTGGGGAAATTGTCAAACAGTTCATTATTCCTATGTATATTTTATTCTGATAAGAAAAATTTAAATCTTGAAAGTAAAATGGAAAAATAGAAGTTTTAAAACATATCCGTTCAAGTCTAATCAAATTTCTAACATTAAACACATAAATTCAAGAAGAGTTCAATTGTTTGTTGCCATGGACAATATATGATGGATAGACAGCTTTCTGGACAAAAAGCATTAGAGAAAAGTTGGGGTAGAGAATTCTAGGAGAACATTACCTCTAGGAGGTGGACTAACAGGAATCATGTGGTGGGGGAGTAAAATGAAATTGTAGGACAGAGACAGGAATGGCATTTCCTCAACTCTAAATTGCATATTAGCTGGTTATCAAACTAAGGATGAAAGGTATAGGTGTATTCATTTTCATGTCTGGGCAGAGAATGGCCATATGTACTTAATTCCCTAGCTGCACTGTACAATGTAAGGCAGAAGCTTGAAATATATTCCATCCAAGATGCATTTTTTGTTAATCTCTTTTTTAAAATAATCAGTTTTAAAACCATCTTAAAAGGCTATTTTTTGTTTGATTTTAATTCCTCAAATTTAGTTTTCCATCAATTTGAAAGTTTCACTCTTTCCCAACACCCCACAAACAGCTGTAGACATGAAATAGTGTCCATGTGTCAAAGAGCTCGCGGAGGAGAGCTGCTAGTTGGTGTCTGTGCTGATGCCAACAGCCAATTTTTGTCAACCAACAGGATCAGTTTTATGAAAAACTAAAACTCAAATCCATCACCCTATTTTTACAGCAATTCAATGGTATCTGTTATTCAGTGTCTAAATTTTTTGAATGCTGAAAACAGGGCAAAGTGCTGAAAGACCAAAAGGTTGCTTGTGACAGATCCGGTCAGGAGGACAGTGAAATGAACTTGGGTGCCATTCACCCCAAGGATGCAGCACAGGTCTCTAGGAAGGTGTGGCCACATTCTTTCGTGTGTATGTGAAGTCATGTTCACAATATTTACAATAAGAAAAAGACCTTCCACTGCTTATGATGTAACTTACAGAAAAAAAATTATTCATGCTTCTTTGCATATCACGTGATGGTGGCAAGACGAGAGAACATGCTTGTCTAACACTGTCTGGTTAAGGATAAGTTCTCTGGAGACAAAGCATCAGCAACTGAATGGAAGGCCAGGTAGCAGTTCCTTTGCTTTAGTGCAGCTATTTGATCTTCAGGAAAAAGTAACAGAATCCTTGAGCAGCTATGGCATTTCTGTGACAGGACGTTTCTGTTTCAAAGTGTCAATGAGAGACAAGACCCCTCGTTTTACATTACTTGTGACTCTTCTGGTCATTGAGTCTGCTGGCGGAGGTGGAGGCCGAACTTTCTGTGAAGGTGGCCTGGCTACCAAGCACTTCTGATATCGCAACTGGAATAAAACAAATGAGCAAAACTTTAGGTCATTAATATTATTTCTTTTTGGTTATTATGCCTTTAATCTATCACCAATATGATGACTCTCAAAAAGTTAATGACCTGACTTCTAAACATAAATCCAGGCATTTACTACTACTATTAGCACTACCACCACCACCACCATCACTACTTGTACCACTACTACTATTACTACTACTACATTTTGTGGTGATTCGGATTGATTGTAGGTCCTTATAGATCGTAGGAAAGGTCTCCCTGTAGCCCCAGCTGGGCTGGAACTCACTATGTAGACCAGCCTGGCCTGAAGTCATAGAGATTTGCCTGCCTCTGCCTCCAGAGCACTGGAATTAGAGGCATGTGCCACCATGCCTGACCCGGTTAATTTATTCTTAATGTTGGATGTTTTGAATCCCAACAGGTACTTTGTCTTTTGCACCCCCTTTTTTTTTTCATTGATGGCTGCCCTCTACTTGTTTTCTCCACTGTAATGATACAATTCATATACCTCACAGTCAACAGCTAACCTAACAAAAAGGATTAGGACAGAGAGGACTACCTGACTTTTTCATCAGATAGGTACATCTATTAAGTGCCCATGGCCCTTGGGGGACAGCATGCTAGAATGTGCACAGTCTGCACCCAGGCTCTATAACTTGTGAGCTATAGAACCCCAGTTATTAAATCTCTCCAACCCTTAGTTTCTTCAGCTGTAAAGTGATTGAAGAATTATAAGTCATACTGCCTAAAATAAGACCTAGAAACACACATATCTGCTCCTATCCTTATTTCCTACTTTAATAGAAACCGATGTATTGAATATAAAATATTGGTTGAGCAATCACAGAATTTGAAAATAAACTAATTCCTTCTCAGCTATGATGCTTTTCATAGAGGCCAAGGACTCGCTATAAAACATTTTTTCCAATTTGAATATTTATATTGGTTGAGGAACTAACATTTTAGACTGGTTTAGAATTACTGGGAGCTTATTTTAAAGCAGAGGAAAAACAAGCACGAAGTTGCTATCTTTAGAACAGTTTGTGAAAATAATGGTATAAAGGTCTTATTTTCCTGTTTCAAATATTATACAGAGGTATGAGTAATTCCATTTATTGGAAAAACTTTAAAAATTGATCCAAATGTTGACATTTAAGTAGATTGGATGACACAGTGTCTTTAGTATATTAAACATTTGCTCTCCATGCATCTGTAATTTTTCATTCCTGTTTCAAATATTATACAGAGGTATGAGTAATTCCATTTATTGGAAAAACTTTAAAAATTGATCCAAATGTTGACATTTAAGTAGATTGGATGACACAGTGTCTTTAGTATATTAAACATTTGCTCTCCATGCATCTGTAATTTTTCAAAGTACATTTTGCCTTTGATACAACCAAAAAGAAATAAACATATATATATATATATATATATATACACACACACACACATCAGCTGAGATCTCAAGTATCAACCCTAATGGATTAATCTTTTAAAAATTCATTCTCAGGCCGGGCGTGGTGGCGTGTGCCTTTAATCCCAGCACTCGGGAGGCAGAGGCAGGCGGATCTCTGTGAGTTCAAGGCCAGCCTAGTCTACATAGTGAGTTCCAGGACAGCTGGGGCTATAGGGAGACCCTGTCTCAAAAAGACCAAAAAACAAACAAACAAAAAAACCCAAAAACCATTCTCATGGGCATGTCTATCCTTCAGAAATATAACAACTTAGGGCTGGTGCAATGCTCAGTGGGTAAAGGTACTTGCTCCTCAAGCCTGACAGCCCGAGGTTTTAAACCCCAAAAAAAACAAAAAA